AGAGAGAGAGAGAGAGAGAGAGAGAGAGAGAGAGAGAGAGAGAGAGAGAGAGAGAGAGAGAGAGAGAGAGAGAGAGAGAGGTAATTACGTGCAGAGAGTGGCGGGGTGGGAGAGAGAGAGTGAGAGATAGAGAAAGGTAGCTCGATGGACCACGGATCGGCTATGAAACTGTTTGGGGCAGATACTATACTTCATGCCGGGGGGGGAGGGCGCATAGTTTGTTACATTGGGGTCTCTCTCTCTCTCCCTCTCTCCCCTCTGGTCTCTCTTCCTCTCTCTCGCTTCCCGCGGATGCGCTTGCGTTTTTTGCTTTTTCAAGGGTCTTGTTTTTTTTTTTTGTTAATAAAGATCTCCCGATGGTCCACGGGTCAGATATCAAACTGATCGGAACAGATACTACACTTGATCGTCATCGTCGTCGTCGTTTTGAGGGGTGGGATAGTTAGTTTTTTGGTTCTCTCTCTCTCTCTCTCTGCTGCGCGCTGTTTTTCCATGTTTTTTTTTTTTTGGTTAATAAAGATCTCCCGATGGTCCACGGGTCAGATACCCAACTGATCGGAACAGATACTGCCCTTGATCGTCATCGTCGTTTTGAGGGGCGGGATAGTTAGTTAGTTTGGGGGTTCTCTCTCTCTCTCTCTCTCTCTCTCTCTCTCTCTGCTGTGTGCTGTTCTTTTTTTTTTTTGTTAATAAAGATCTCCCGATGGTCCACGGGTCAGATATCAAACTGATCGGAACAGATACTGCACTTGATCGTCATCGTCGTCGTCGTTTTGAGGGGCGGGATAGTTAGTTTGGGGGTTCTCTCTCTCTCTCTCTCTCTCGTGCATGCGCCAATTTTCAAATAACAGATACTACACTTGATCGTCATCGTCGTCATCATTTTGGGGGCCGCTTCACAGGCAGCAACGACGTGAATTCGTTCTTGACGGGGCAGCTCAACTGGGAGCGACGATGGCAGCTCGACGAGGAGCAGCGGCGACGGCGGGCTTGGAGACGGCAGCTACGACCGGCGGGCTTTGTGATGGCAGCTTCGCACTGGAGGATACCACGTTCGAATTTGAACACGACGCGGTGCGGGCGCACGTGCGCGCACCTTTTTTCAAACGGATCGGAACAGATAAAGCGCTTGATCGTCATTGTCGTCGTCGTTTTTGGTTTTGGGCCCGGCTGGGTGGTTAGTTAATTTGGTCTCTCTCTCTCTCTCTCTCTCTGATCATCGTCGTCGTCCTCGTTTTGGGGGGCAGGGTAGTTAGTTAGGTTGGGCTCTCTCTCTCTCTCTCTCTTGCTCTCTCTCTTGTGCGGGCGCACATGCGGGCGCCGTGTTTCAAACGGATCAGAACAGATACTGCACTTGATCGTCGCCGTCGTCGTCGTCATTTTGGGGAACAGGGTAGTTAGATAGTTTGGGCTCTCTCTCTCTCCACACGCGCGCGCGGAGGAGTGGCGGGGTGGGAGAGAGAGAGAGAGAGTGTGTGTGTGTGTGTGAGAGAGAGAGAGAGAGGTAGTTATGTGCGAGG